ACCTAAAACTGCTGTAAGAATGTTATATTATTCAAAACATGTATGAGGTTCTTTACAACTCTTGATATCCTTTCACTAAAATGTCTTTAATACAGAGAGAGAGAGAGAGAGAGAGAGAGAGAGAAGACTTTAATAAAGTACAAAATGAGTGATCAATTCAACTGTTTGTGAACAATAGTATGTTCTAGATTGCCCCCTGGATCTTAGGAACTTATTGATTCTTATTAGAGACTGCTAATGATCAGATGGACTACCGTGATTTCTTAAATTCATTAATTATCTTGGCAAATGAATTTATCTCTTAGCACTTTATTGTTGTTTCATAAGTATATCTTAGATATATGGAGTTCCATATGTTTGTTGAATTCAATTAGAAGAACTGCTTGATTTAGTATATAATACTGATCAAACTTGTATGTCTATAAATTTTATTTGATTCTAGAAAATTTGGGACAAATTAGAACAATAATGGCATCTAGTAAATGATTTACATTGGAATTCCTGTTTTGGTTTGTTTCTGGTATTTCTCTTCAAAACGACTGTGTGTGTGTGTGTGTGTGTGTGTGTGTGTGTGTTTTAAAGAAAAATCCACACCTCTTTAGGACACACCAGGTTGGAAGAGAAAAAGAGGGTATGTTCTATGAAATCCCCAAGACCTGGATTAAATCTTAACTTCCCTTCCTGTGTGACCTGAATAACTTCTTTGAGTCTCAGTTTCCCTTTTCTGTACAATGGGGTAAGCATTTACTTCACAGGGTTTTTGTTTAGTTAACCTGAGGAAGAGAGAAAAATCGTCATCCCCTTGTTATGGTTTGCTTTAGGTTCACTGGTGACAGAGTTAAATTAATGTATAAATCAGAGAATGGATTATGAGGGAATTTTGGTAACAGTCAAAACATTCAAAGTCTGATAACAATATGGATTGCAGTTTGCAATTTAAAGCAATACAATTTCCACTTAAAAGGCCTTATATTATATATTGATATGGATTTTCTAATGAGAATTACTCTGGAATTTGAAATTGGGGGACTAATATTTCTACTTAATGAATAATAGAGCAAATATGTGAGGACATGTGTAGAATATGATTAAGCAACATAAATGTAATGACAAATCTCCCCTAAATATTAAGGGTGGATAGTAGAAATAGTCTCAAAGAGGTTATATCACTGAAGGGATTATATTTAATCTAGTTGCCAGATCCTATCACTTTATTACTTACTCAGATAACTGTCTTGATAACACTGCTTGCAGTTTCCAAGTCATAGCATTAGATATTCTGTACAGAAAAAAATATATAATTTCTTTCTGTTGAGCTATCTTTGGTCAATATTTAGCAAGATAAGTTACTTTGTATCTAGTTTCTAATTTTTCTAGTACCGAGTAAAATTGATTATGTAAAATAGATGAACTTCAACGGAATGATTTCTTTTGTGCTATTCAATGGGATTTAAGTTTTAAGTTTGTTCTTGGTCAAAACGGAATGACTCAAATTCAGGATATTATGGATCTTGTTCTGTGAAAATAAGGAATTTTACTTTTATTGAGTGATGTAAGGAATTGTATTATTTCTGTCTTTAGAAATAGCTAGTATTTCTTAGCTGGTAGATTAATCTTGGTTTGCTGATTTAACATATCTTAAAGCCCACATCCTTTTGGGGTTTACCAATAGGGAAACGTTAGAATTAACTTGCAAAATTGTGGCTTCATATTGCCAAAAATGACGAGTTGGTCCAGATAATTTCCACCAGAAAAATCGGGAAAATCATTTCCACCATATCTTTTGAATTGATGCTGTGTGGGGGCTTTCCTAGTTAAATTCAGCCTAGAAAGAAAAGGAGTGATTAGTTAGCTCATTAAAAAACTTTTTATTTTTGGTGGTGTAGGCTGTCCTATTAAACTCTGAGTCTGAATCATTTTAATCACCCGCTGTTGGTGGTTCTTCGTCTTTTAAATCACAATCCTTTTTTTTTTTAAAGATACTAATTCTCCAGAAAAATGTAGCTATGCAAATACTTATGAGGATTTCCAAATAATTTTAGAGGATTCACAGACTCCTCAAAGCTCATATAAAAAGATGTTGGGAGACTCATTTAAGCGGAATATCCATCTAAGAATATGAGGGTGGCAGAGAAATCAGTGTTAGCTCAAAACTTAACTTTTCCCTGGCACGTTTATTTACTCATTCTGTACTTATTGAGCACCTACCGTGTTCCCAGGCTTCCTGCAGTGAACAAGGCAGAGATGAGCCTCGAGCTCCCAGGGTTATGTTCTGGGGGATGTTGATTGAGAAGGTGGAAGAGTGGTCTTGACCCTCAGAATGAGCTCTTGCTGGCACTAAGCAGCTCCTTTTTCTTCAGGAACCAGAGTCGATTTTGATTAATTGACCTGACAGTGCATGGCACATCATATTTACTGGGGAGGACTTAATAGCCCCAGAGACTCCCAAAGGAAACATGAAAATTTCCACATACTATTATCCTAATGGGGTCACAGTAAGAGAAAGTACAAGCAAAGAGGTAAGGTTCTCACAGGTGGAGGAAGCTTGTGGTCCGTCACTACATGCTGTTGAGTTTTCACCTGCTTTCACATGGGAAAGGAAAGTCAGGACATCCTCACCCAGAGCATAAAAGGAAAAAAATTTATGGAAATTTATTGTCCTCTGAGGGACATAAGTAGTTTGTTTCTTGGGGGCGCATATTATTTATAATTTAAAAATATGTATGTGGAAGCGATTTTTGTTTTTGTAAATTGTGGCAGGCAATATTTGGGAATTTTGAGAGGGAAGAGAATGATTAATCTAGAATATTCTATAAAGGTGGTTCTCTAAACGTCATCTAAGATCAGTAAAATTAGCATAAATCCCCTGGGAGTATGTTAGAAATGCAAATTCTCAGAGCCCACCCCAGACCTACAGATCAGAAACTGTGGAAGGGGACAACTAGCTGTGTGTTAACCAGTCCTTCAGATGACTGCGATGCTCGGAAAGTCTGAGAGCCACTGCTCTACAATTAGGCACCAGTTATTGCTCTTTTAACTTGGCTCATTTTTATCAAACACATACACATGCAAGTTGCATTGGGAGATTTGGAAATTTATAATGCAATGCATGGCATATTTCTTTGCGTGTTAATATTCTTAAAATATCCTCATATTTTAGGAAAACCTGTTTTCTTTTTTAAAGTTAATACTAAAATATCAAAAAATCAATCCTGAGATGTCCTAAAATAATGAGTTTATATGAAGTTAGACCATTTTCTATTAAATTAGAAAACAACTGAAAAACCAAGTGCAATGTCTAACACACAGTAGATGCTGTGTATATTATAGTTCTACTTTGCTTTTATGCACAAGCATTTACTCTTTAAAATTTGCCATGTGGATTTCACTCTCTTAATTCCACAGTGTTTGAATAGGAATAAAATGAAAAAGTATTAAATTATTAGAAAACTTAAAATTTATTTATGGGTTATTTTGGACATGCACCTTTTTGAGCAGGATGCAATTTATCCTAAAGTAGAATGAAAGTTTAGATTTCCATAGGACAGAGCTAAGTCTGAACTGAAGACAAAAGAGAAGGACATAGGAGACACTGCATTTCACATTGCTTCTCACACCACCTACATTTCCCCGGGTCCGACCTGACTGAGGGTGCAAATGCCTTACCTTGACATTGACATTAATTATCTACAACTTTCTGGCTTTCCTTCCTCATTTGCTGAGAGCAGACATCAATCCCTTCCCCGGAGGAACCCCCAGTTATTCGGGGAGTTTTCAGAGCACATTTGGATGTGCTCTGGAGCAAGGATGCTCCGGTTCCCGTACTATACTTACTGTCTATTGCCTGATAGCCTTCTGACAGCCCTCTGCCAATCCCCAAAGTCCAGAGCCTCTGGGTCAGGGCTGCTCTCCTGCCCAGAGCCTTGTGTCTGGTGCAACCTCAAACCTCAGAAGCTTCATAGACCAACAGGTGCTCTGTCAGCTCACAGACACCTCATTGTATCATTAACTCGAATTCCTATCTAATTTGGAGGAGAGGAGGCCATAGCAGGGCTGGCTTTAGGAATTGACCTGTGCAGTTGCACTAGGCCCTGCCCTGTGTTAGGTTTTATGCTCTGTTGTTGTCCACACAAATTTGGAAGGTCTCCTTCCCAGGCAAATTCAAGCTTTGGTGGGGAGGAGGCCATAGCAGGGCTGGCTTTAGGAATTGACCTGTGCAGTTGCCCTAGGCCCTGCCCTCAGAACGACTCTGTGTTTGGTTTTATGCTCTGTTGTTACTCTCTTGAACACTGGGTCCCGCATTTTCATTCTGCACTGAGTTCCTCAAATGAGGCAGCAGTCCTGGGCAGCCACCCACCATTCAGAGGCCCAGACTCTGGGCTTCAGTTAAGGGACAGTTTACTAGATGATGCCTGCTTCTTCCTGAATTTATTCTTCAGATTTGTATTCAGTTTCTAAATTCTCCCTAAAGCATGTCCCAGTGGCAATGAGATATTTAAACGTGATTTTTCTTAGAGGAGAGGTGGAGCCTGTCCATTTATAGGAATCCTGCAATAGTTTACTATTATTGCCTTTTTAGATACTAAGTTGATTATTTATTTAAAATAACAGATTTCCTGTTGCAAATGTTGCTGAAAAGTTTATCAGGAACCAAATTAAATGTGACTCATTCATTAGACATAAATTAAGTGACCCATTAAAGGCTCAGGATGAAGGTCATAAAAAATGGAGTAAGTACGGTCCCTGTTTTCTAAGAGCTCATTATGGACCTTGAATGACAGAAGCAGATTGCCATTACTTCTACCTGGGGTGCTTGAAGAGAGGATAGCAGAAGAGATTAAATACCATTTAATAATACAATACCTCAAGGAGGGGCTTGGTGTCCATAAAGGACATTGGTAATGTACCTTAGACTAGGATCTGAATCATTATGGCTTGTTCAGGCTTGAATCATGATTCACATTTTATCATTTTTCCCCCCCTTCTGTGCTCTTTCTTAGCCTCAGCACCCCAGTCCGATGAAGGCTCAGACATTGACTCTGAACCCGATTTGCCGCTAAAGAGGAAACAGCGCAGGAGCCGAACCACCTTCACAGCAGAACAGCTGGAAGAATTGGAGCGTGCCTTTGAGAGAACCCACTACCCTGATATTTACACCCGGGAGGAGCTGGCACAGAGGGCAAAGCTCACCGAGGCCCGCGTGCAGGTACTGCCGTCGCCATGCCCTCGTCCTGACTCATCCAGGCAGGAAACCAAAAAGGGTCTTTTCTCCTTTTAAAGCAGATTTTAAATCAGGAAAATAGATATATTAGCAATAGCAGTTTGTGAATTGTAGCCTACAGCACTATCAAGTTCCCTCCTTTCTCTCTAATGTCTTCTTTACAGTTTGCCTTATCATGATAACAGCATCATGACCTCTTTTTTTCTTTTTATTTGAATTTGCCTCATTCACCCTCCTCCCCTCCCATCTCTTTTGTTTTAGGTATGTCTATTTAGCAGGATTTTAGAAAAAAAAATTCTAAATAGGTAGGTGAGTCCAACTAAATTTGTGATGGATACATGTGACTTCTTTTCTGTTGTATTGTTTGATACAATTATTTTATAGATCACATTTTTAAATCTGATCTATTGAATTTACTTTCTTTGAATTCTTAGTGTTTTTTTGGTATTTATGAAAATGTGCATTTTTCTTTCAGAATTTGGTTATTATTACTATGAGCGTATGATTGTATCAGCTAAGACACACAGAAGTATGTCAATTCATGTTTTCACACATCATTTCAGGAATCCTAATTATGTACCAGTCATTATCTGGATTTTTGGGGTGGTACACAGATAATAGCAAAACAATTTGAGTGTTTTCTTTTTCAGTGCAAGTACTGTTCTAAGTGTTTTACATGAACTAACCCACTCACTCACCATTAAAACCCTAGATTGGTATTATTATTATTCCCCAAGTTATACATTAGTAAGTGATAGATATTTGGATTCCATATACTTCCTCTCCACGGCCTTTCAATTATGATGACATACAAAGGTGTATAAGGTAAAATCCCTTTCTTTAAGGGTTTTGTTGTCTGGAAGCATCTCAAGTATCTATATTATCCTAAGAACAGTTTGAATTATCTTTTGAACTCTTAGATGTACAGTTGACCCTTGAACAACATGGGAGTTAGTGACGCTGACCCATGAGTAGTCGAAAATCTGTATATAGCTCTTGACTCCTGAAAAAATTAGTTGTCCTTCAATATCCATGGAGCATTGGTTCCAAAACACTCCACAGATACCACAATCCAAGGATACTCAAGTCCTCCACATCTGAGGACTCCCAACTGCGGATAGAAAACACTACAGGCATTTACAGAAAGAAATCTGCCTCTAAACGGACCCTTGCAGTTCAAACCTGTGTTGTTCAAGAGTCATCTATACTCTGAACCCTCTGGAGAAGGCTTCTTTGGTGTATGACGTTTCTATTGAGTGATAGAATAATGTTTTCATCACTCATTAATGATGAACTTTCCTCTCATGGTAGTAAAGCACCATTTGAAAGATTACAAATGTCTTAGGGTATCCTGGGACTCTTTACTATCCCAGAAGTTACCTTATTTGGAAATGTTGTGTTATTCCCAGATACTTAACTTTCATAGCCAAAGTGAGTCTGGGAACTCAGCAGTGAACTAGTCAGCGGATATGGTCTCGAGTGATCAACACTTCCTCATATGTAGTTCATTCCCTCTGCTATTACAGAATTTTACAGCAGTAACCTCTTCTAGGCTCAGAGACCAGTCAGAGGGATTGTCTTATTCACTTTGACTTTTCCTATGATCATCACTGTGCTAAGAAAGTCGAGGAATGTTGAGGTGAATTAAGACAAGTCTTTTAAGGAGCTACAACCTAATATGGGTAATAAAGTAAACATACAGATAATGTTAAAAGTAAAGCAGATGCAATTAGTACCATAAGAAAGAGACAAAATGCAGTGGGAGGAGCTGAGAAGAGGAAAGGATGAGATCTTGTTGGAGTAAACAAGAGAGGCTCATGGAGAAGGGAGATTTAAGATGGACCTTTGAGGTGATAGTTAATTCATTGGACAGGGCAGGTGGGGAGAGCATACTAGTAAGAGGGAGTAATATGAGCAAAAAGCACAGAGAGTTGGAAGCACATGAGTTACATATCAGGTGACCTTTCATTTTCACTCATGTTGAGGGAACAGAGAATAGTTCATTTTGATGGGAAGGTAAGGAGTGGTCAGTGGCAGGAAGGAATATGGCTGGAAATCTATTCTGAGGACATCTTGTGGAAGGCCTGGGTTTCAGGCTAGAACGCTCACACTTAATGTGACAGCTGTGGAGTCTGTGGGTATGAAACCATGAGTGGCAGTGTGAATGGAAAGGAAAGGATGGTGATGAAGGCACTTAGAACTGAAATGTAGGGAACTGATTGTGATAGTGGAGGTGGGGGGAGTAAAGGTAAGAGTCACAGATACACCAGCTGTATAGTGTAGATTCCAGTTGGTGCTATTCAATCCTGCTACCTGTTACATTGGGATACAGAATTGCTTTCCAGAATTGACCACACATCATGATAATAGCTATACATAAGTAGTACATCATTATATAATAATATACAGTATACCTAATATTACATGTACTAACGCCACAATTACTGTATCTATCAAATATGTTTTGCTTTTAGTTCTAGGATTAAATAGTTACTCCTAGAATTACCCATTTCTGGGATTACCCAGTTTAAATGTGAAGGTCAGTTCATTCAGTCTCTGTTCTTTCAGCAACCTTTATTGAGTGCCCACTGCATTCCAGGATTTGGTCCCTATACTCCATGGCTGGCCAAGCCCACATGCTGGGTCTGTCCTTAAGAGAACTCAGTCTCAAACAATAAATATTGATTTTTAAAGAAATCAAACAAAGAGAGTGATGAAAAACTGAAAGGAGCATTCAGCGTTGCTCTATTTCATTCTTGCCTTTGCCAAAGACGAGGATGGGGGACAGAATCAGTCTCAGGCCCATGCGGCTTGGGCAGAGCCTGGTGTTCGCATCTGGCTCAGTGAGTGTCAGAGAATAAGAATGGCCCGTTAACTTCCAGAGGACATGGGATCAAACCAATAAAGGGTGGTTCATATTTTTCTATACAGTGACCTCTTCTCCGAAGCAGGGCCCTCATTAACTTAACAGCTGTCCTAATGTGGCTTTAACCCGGTGACTCTTTACATTCCTTATGGCTTCATTAGTTCCCTTGAGACACATCCCGTCCTGCACCACAGCTATGATCTACAGCCTAACAAATTCCCTACAACACCCGGCATATGGATCTTACTTAACCCAGCAGGAAAAAGAAGGGAGTAGTTAATCACTGATTAAAATGCCAGAACAAAATCCTGTAGTTTTTAGAAGGATCTGGGAAAGCAGTAGCAAAGTCAGCTCAGTTTGAGTGATAGCCAGAGAGTGAGTTAGTTTAATTTGGGGCACCTGGGAAAACCAAACACCAAACCAACCCCCCTCCCCCCCAAAAAAAACACACCAAAAAACCACACACAATAAAAAACCTAAAACCCGAACACTTCCTATTCCATTTATTTTCCTGAGGAAAAATATTTCTAACTTAAGCCTTTGTCAGTATTTCATAAAAATTTGTTTGGACAGTAGCTACATTGTATTTATCATAGTCAAGTCTGAGTACACAATCTAAGAATTGTACACCAAAAACTAATTTGCCTAATTTACTTCCTGGGTAGCTGTTAGTTTGGAAATAATAGAAAGCATTAACGTTTTGTAGGGGAGTATGTTGTGCAAATATTTATGATGTGCAAAAGTTTTAGTAAATATTTCATTTGAGAACTCCATGAAGCAAGCAGGCATCATCCTTTACCACCAAGATAATAGCAGACAGGAAAGGAAGCTGCTTGTAGAAATAGCACTTAACAAGGAGTCAGAGATGTGGGTTTTGATCTCAGCTTGTCAAATGCATTTTGTTGAGCAAGTCACTTAATTCTGCTATAATCCAGGTGTGCCTCAGTTTTTTTTTTTAAGTTTTGAAATTTGGAGTAGGTTAGATGAGATGGTCTTACTCTGGGTCTGTGGACGACCGGGAAAATCTTGGATG